ACATGAAGAAAACCTATCAAGGCACAATACAGTCCAACTGTGGAAAAATAACAGTACCAAGAAAATCTTAAAAGCAGTCAGAGAAAAAAAGAAACTACATACAGAGAAACAAAGACAAAAATGATAGCAGATTTCTTGTCAAAAATAATGCAAATGAGGAGTGAGGCAATGTTTTAAAGAACTAAAAGGAAAAAAAACCCTGTCAATCCAGAGCTCTATACTCAGCAAAATGTCTTTCAAAAATTACGGTGAAATACTTTTTCAGACATTAAAAAAATAAATAAATAAATTTATAACCAGCAGATTTGAACTATAAGAAATGTTAGAGGAAGTATTTCAGGCAGGAAAAAAAAAAAGGAAGAAAATATGTACCTACGGAAGGGAATAAAGAGCACCAGAGATGTAGCTACATGAGTAAATAAGATTATTTAATCTCTTTAAAATATCGCTCTTCTGAAGGTAGATGGTGATAAGTTAAAGAAGTGTACTATAAATCCTTAAGCAACCACTAAAATAATAAAGCAAGGAATTACAATTAATAAGAAAAAAATGCAATCATAAACAACATTCAATTAATTTAAAGGCACAAAAAGTGAGGAAAAAAAGAAGAGAGGAGACAAACAGAAATATGATCAATTTTAATACATCATATGAAAAATCACATTAAATGTAAATGATCTGAACATTAAGTATTATAGTTAAAAGTCAGAGATTTTGAGATTGAATAAAAAAGCAAGACTGACTATATGGTGCCTACATAAAATACACTTTAAATATAAAGACACCAATAGATTGAAAGTAAAAGAATGGAAAAAAGAAATATCAGGCTAACACTAATCAAAAGAAAGCTGGAATGAGTACATTAATATCAGACAAAGTAGATTTCAGAGCACAGAATATTAACAGGGAAAAAGAGGTCACTTCACACAACGATAAAGGGGGGGAGATCAATTCAACACAAAGACACAACATTCCTAAATGTTTATGCACCTATTAATAATGCTTCAAAACACACGAGGTAAAAACTGATAACTTCAAAAGAAATAAATACTATTTTTCCAGTTATTGTTTGACATTTCAATACCCCTCTCTTAATAACAGATGAGCAAGGAAACAAAAAATCTATAAGGTTATAAAAGATCTGAACAACATTATCAAACAAGTTAACCTAATTGACATCTAGAGAACAATGGAATTAAATTAGAAATCAATATCAGAAAGATCTCTAGACAACCCCCAAATATTCAGAAACTATTAACACACTTCTAAGTAATCATGGGTCAAAGAAGAAATCAAAATGGAAATTAGAAAATATTTTGAAATGAATGAAAATACACCATATAAAAAATTGTGAGATGTCATTAAAGTAGTAGAGGTAAATTTACAGCATTAAATGTCCATTACTAGAAAAGAAGAAAGGTCTCGAATCAATGACCTTAGCTTCCACCTCAATAAAACTAAAAAAAGGGCAAATTAGATTGGCACCAAAGCATCCATAAAAGAACATATTAGTTATATGGAATTCATCAAAATTACGAATTTCTGGTCTTCGAGAAACATTGTTAAAAGAATGCAAAGACAAGCCACAGACCAGGAGAAAATATCTGTAAAGCATATACCTGATAAAGGACTTGCATCCAGAATATATAAAGAACTCTTGAAACTCATTAATAAGAAAACAACCCAATTAAATAAAAGATCCAAAGCACAGACACCTTCACAAAGATATACAGATGGTAAATGAGCACGTGAAAAAATGCTCAACATCATTAGTCATTAGGCAATGCAAATTAAAACCACAGCAAGACACCAGTACATATCTATTAGAGCGGCTACAGCTAAAAAGACTGACCACATACCAAGTTCTGGCAAAGATATAGTGGAACTAGAACTCTCATCCACTGCTGGTGGGAAAGTAAACCCCTTTGGAAAAACAGTTTGACAGTTTCTTCAAAAGTTACACATGTACCTACAATAGGATCCAGTGAAAGCTCCTAGGTATTTACCCAGGAGAAATGAAAGCTTATGTCCAAATAAAGACTTATACATGAATGTTCATAGCAGTTTTATTTTTAATAGCCCAGAACTGGAAACAACCCAAATTTCCTTCAATAGATGAATGGATAAACATCATACATAACAGAATACCGCTTAATAATAGAAAGGAATGTACCATTGGTATCTGTTACAGCATGCAGTAATTCAAAATAATATGCAGAGTGAAAGCCAGACCAAAAAAGAGTACATATTGTATGATTCCATTTATGTAAAATTACAAACTAATCTCTACTGACAGAAAACACAGCAGATATTCTCTGAAGACAGGAGGGAGAAGAGAAGTATCAGAAACAGCTGAAGGAAATTTTTGAAGGTGACAAAAGCTTTCATTGTCTTGAGCGTGGTAATGGTTTTTAGGGTGTATACATGTCAAAATGTATCAATTTGCACAACTTAAAGATATACAGTTAATTTTATGTCAATTATACCTCAGTAAAGCTGTTTTAAAAATGAAAAAGCACAGTAAGAAAGAGTACTGTGGGTAAATAAGTTTATTTATAAAATGATTTCAATAATACCTAAACTTACATGGTTTTACTCAAATAATCTGTTGCTGTCAAGTCAATTTTGACTCATGGAGACCCCCTGTGTTACAGAGTAGAATTGCTCCATAGGGTTTCTTGGCTGTAATCTTTATGGAAGCAGATTTAGGACTTTCTTGTGCAGTGCCACTGGGTTGGTTCAAACCACCAGCCTTTAGGTTAGTAGTGGAGCCTAAACCTTTTGCCCCACCCAGGGACCTAGTTAGGACTAAATGGGATAATGTACACAAATAACACTATATGTAGCACAAAGTTGATACTCATTAGATGGTAGTAGCTAATACTGCCACACAAGTACTTATTTCAACTTTGCAACACTCCTAATGAGGTAAGAAACACTTCTGTAAGGCCTAAGAGAGGCCTAAGAAAATTCTATCTGGGTGACAGCTAGAAGCAAAGGTGGAAATGAAGTAAAAACAGGTAAACAGAAACTGATGTGTAAATGCCTATTAGCATGGTAATCTTTCAACAAGTTGAATTGTTTAACATAAATGCTTGCAAACTTATACATGCATTTCTAGTCCCCAGCTACTCAGATACTACAGAAAAATAATTTTGCACCCTGTTTGGCTTGTTGAGTCACACTACAGAGAGAAAGACAAAAAAGCAAAATGTCAGAAGCTGCAGGTTCAAATCTGAAGGTGATGCTGTGCCATTAGCTATTTGTAGAAAGGATAATACCAAAGATTTTATTTACTTTAGTTAGGCTCCGAATCAAAACTCCTCCCAAACACAACAAAATCTTTAAAGAAGCGTGCTAGACCAGACAGCACGAAAACTACTGTTTTAATAGTTATTAGGCATCTTGTTCCAGTTTATCATCAGTTAGTTATTGTAGAGAGGAATCTCACTAAAAGCAGGCGCAATGGTTCCAGACTGAAAGGAAGCATGCGCTACTCAATGGGTCACGTGCTCTGTTGTCACAGCCGTATATCATGGAGGAAGAGGTACCATTTTTTCGGGAGGATAGGAATAGGGAGGCAAAGGCATTGTCTAATCACCATTTGGACATCTCTGCTCATAAACAGAGAGGTGCCTTTTTTGCATAAAAGGATTTTATACACTAGCAGCAGCCTTAATAGAGGACTGATATTACAGAACATTCCTGTTATCTGAGTAGTACTTCAAGAAAAGAAAGCCCTGATGGCGCACTGGTTAAGAGCTAACCAAAAGGTCGGCAGTTCAAATCCACCAGGCACTCTTTGGAAACCCTATCGGGCAATTCTAGTCTGTCTTACAGGGTCGCTATGTGTTGGAATCGACTCAGGTGTTGGAGTCCTTCTTCAGGCGTTTTACCTGAAGAAGATGCTCAATGGGACTCTTTCAGTAACTTTGTTTGGGGGAATATTTTGGCAAAAGCAGTGTAACTACTTAAATATTCAAGGACAAAGAAATTAGCAAGAATTCCCAATGAAATGATATATAACGACAAGGTAGGGCTCAACAGAAATACACAATATCGTGTGCCTATACTTTCTTTTTCAGTGATATTCTGCAATACTTATAGGAGACTGGCCATTTTGATCAAAACAAAACGAAAACAAAAGACCAGAATGTTTCTGAAATGTCAATACTCTTAAAGAACCATTATCCATTAAATGACAAATACTTTATACTGAAAAAATATTATTAAGTATTTTTAAAAACAGAGAAATCAATCTAACGATCCAACAACACTGGAAAAAGCCTAGTTTTTGTTTCATGTATACAGGAGGACTGATTCAGATATATCAATCCGAAATGAGAAATGACACCAATACTTAAATTTATAAGAGTTTATACAGTATTTCCACATACATCATTATCCACATAAAAAATAGCTTATTATTTACATATAAGTGAAAACGAGGTTCAGAAAGGTTGAGTGACTTGCATCGTCTTAAAACATATTGAGTAGGGTGGAAAAGACATTCAAACCTAGATCTTCTGAGTCAAAAATCTACGATCTTTCCATTAAATAATATCACTTCTGACTGCACTAGGCTTTAAATGCTTCCTTTATGGTACATTTCATAGAAAACGTCTGATGGTCCTCTGAAAATCAACTCCTGAAAGGACTAGCCACAAGGTTGATATTTGATATTTCAAGATTTTAAATTAATTATATGCTGTTAAAAGTTTAATTAGAAAAACAGAAAAGGAAAAAAAAATCCTGTTGCCGTTGAGTCGATACCAACTCATGGTGACCCCATGCGATACCAGGTAGAACTGCTTCATAGGATTTTCTGGTCTGTAACCTTAAAGGAAGCAGATCACCAGTCCTCTTCTTTCAAAGAACCAGTACCGCTGAGTGGGTTCAAATCACTAACCTTTAGGTTAGTAGTCGAGCGCAAACTGTTTGCGCTACCCAGGGACCTTAGGAAAATAGAGGAAAGCTCCATGTAAGTTGTAAAGATTTACCTGAATGGAAAGGAAACTGTTGCTTGGCTTCACCAGTATGTGCGTCCCAAATAATTGTAGTCTGAGATTAGAAAGAAAAGAAAAAAAAATTGCTATGAATTTAAAAGTTTATCATAGATGCATCAATTAGATGCCTAATTGTATTAAAGCAATACGAAATGTCAGAATGAATTTAATTTTTAGCATTTTATCCTAAATAGTACAATGAGGCTATTAACACCACTTCTGGGAGGAAAAATGAATATTAAGCAGTTTCATTTTTCCCTGGTGATTTTTCTTCATTCAACTCACTTCAGATAACAAGTATTATTAGTTGTCTACAAAGTACTGGGCATTACATTCCATTTTACAGACCCAAAAGGAAATAAGCCATATAGCCCTTGCTTAAGAAACTGCATTGCAATAGTGTATTTAATGTAATATTCTTACAACGTTTTAGATATAAGACAAATTCTTGATTAATGAAGTTAGTTCTCAATACTGAAAGGTCTTCAAAGATCACATTTACATAAAAAGACGGGCTGAATTCTGAGAGTAGTAAAACAGTATCTTTTATATGACATCAAAGTATGACGTATAAACTAGAATGAATACATTCTCAATTCCCTTTAGCGCCCTCCCATTTACTAATTTTACGGATGTAATGTATTGTACAGTGCCAGCAGTGACCACCAATAAGGGCTTTTTTCTCCCCTTCCCAGCCTCCTCTACTTTCCTTTCCATTTTGGTGTCATGCTTTAATTGCTCAATTGAATACAAAGCCTGAACCAATTTCTCCTCACCTCCTTTTCTGACACCACACTGTGTTAACTCTCCCTATTAGCATGTCATTTCCTGCATTAAAATAATCCTAAATTTCCTTCTCCCTTCTTCATTTTGGGAATTGTCTTAGAGAGAATGACCTAACGAAATGAAGGAGGAAGGAGGCCATGTTTTAAACCCATTTGTATTCACCATCCTAGTTAGGTGAGAAGAACTAAAAAGTTCCTGCCGTGTCTTACATTTTCAGTTAAGCACCAGGAGTCAGCTAACAGACTGGCTCTAGGATTTACCAAGGAATCCCTCCAGAGCCACATTTACTGATGAGCTCAGCTAGAAGCTGTAGAAAGGTGGGGGAGGTATGACATTCATGATAGCTCAAATTCCAGCAAACATGAGGAGTGGTCACACAGATAAGGGATGAAGGGCATTTGATGCATAATTCAGGAATGAGCTCATAGTTGAAGAATCTAAGAAAGCATTTTTTTACTATCATAAACTCATACTGAAATTTCCCAAATGTGAATGTTTTATTATTTGCATGATCAGCAGAGAAAATACTGCTCCCAAATACACGATGTAACACATTAACCTTGACAGAATTAGTTTACTGTTCTTTTACCTTGTCTACTCCAGCACTTAGGATGAAATTTCCTTTCTTATTCCATTTTAATGCAAATATAGGGCCTTTATGCTGCCCCAAGGTGCTAGCAAGGTTACCTAAAATTTAAAAAGAAAAACATTCAAATCACTTAAAACTCTGTAACTCAGATTAACAAGAAAGTAAAAAGGAAAAGGTTTCATTTACCATCTTTAGTCCATATTCTGGCAAATCCATCGTAAGAACCAGTTGCTAGGAGTGTACCTTCACTCTGTCAGAGAAACACATTTCTCTCAATTATATAACCCAAAAAGAACATTTACTTGTTATTAAAATATTGCACGTTTGAATCCTAAGTAAGCAGACCTTTGACATTCTCTGCTTCGAAGCTTCCAGTCTTGCCTATTCGTGCGTGCCCCCAAAGGCCCACGAGACCCCCTCACTGCTGTGAGGTTGGTACTGTAACGGTAGCCCAGTTAGTGTATGAGACATACCCAAGTCTCAGCAATGGCAGTGACTGTTCTGAAGCCAGACCAAATGCACGACACTCATGAACGCTCAAGGTCTACTGTATTCTTATAGCTGCACAGGGCTGAGGATGGGGGCAGGATGCTGGGCTCAGGAGAACACCAAAATCACAGTTCTATGACGATTTCAATAGAAATAAAAAGCAAAAACTTCCATGTATTTAACTATGGTTATAAAGTTTTTATATGGCCCTCTCTCCAACTCCCCTACTGTTTGAAAGAAATGTATACGTATCAACCATCAATACTGCTGTTTCCAATGATCAGAATCTTTCTTATTATTTAATGTTTCTCTCTTTTGTTAAATTCATCCTCACTGTGAAACCCTAACCAATAAAAGGAGCAACGCAGAAAAAGAGCCAGAAAGAGTGCGGGTTGACTTTATAGTTAATGAAAGTGAGCGCAACTGCCTAGACTACTTTACTCTGAAGAGAAATCCATATAACTTTCTCTTAGGTTATACTCCCTTGCTGTGCCCTACCTTGATGAACGCAAAAAGGAAGGACAGACCTTACTCACTCTGCAAAAGTGTGAAAGTCATAGATGCGTTCAACAGACGACTGCTGGCATGCGTAAACCGTACCGGAGACAGAATGCAATCCTGCCTTACTCAGCACCTTCTTGATGCTTTTTGTTAACGGCACTCAAAACAAGACTGCCTCATTTCAGACTTCTCAAGCCATTTAGCTTTACTGGTGAGTGACCAAAAATAAACCAAATGCTGGTTCTGGGGGCTATGGACTCATTCCTGCCAGGATTTGAAAAATCCTGTAGGCCGCTACCTGAGGGAGAAGAACCTGCATTGAAGCCAACAGCAGAAGTTTACTTCCAGACTGTTCATGTAGGAAGTTTCCTTTAAACTAACAATCCCCAGATGTTTAGCTCATAGACCGCTAAAGTAGAGGAAAAGAATTACAAGCTCTTGGTTTAGCCATGGAAAAGAATTATTACTTGAGGACAGTATTTCCCCCTTTTGGTGGAAGATTCAAATTCATGGTGAATAATACATTTTTGAAAAGCCCACAATTTTTAAGACAATAATTTGAAGCTCAGGATCACCCAGATAAACATACCAATATTTGATAACTATTCTTTACAGTGTAAACTGTTTCTTTAAATTAATATGGTCTCTGATTCAAGTAACATAAGTTATAAGGCCTCTGACTTAAGACATAGTAAGGACCTGTTACAGATTGAACTGTGTTGCCCAAAAATGCGTGTTGTAAATCCTAACCTCGCTCTGTGATTATAATCCCATTTGTAAATGGGTTGTGTTTGTTATGTTAATGAGGCAGGATTAGGGTGTATCTTGAGTCAATCTCTTTTGAGATATAAAAGAGATTAAACAAGCAAGCAAGAGGAGCAGAGATGCGGGAAGAGAGATGCCAAGCCACATGAAGATTGCCCAGGAGCGGAAGCTAAAAGAGACAAAGCCCTTCCTCCAGAGCTGACATAAAGACAGAAAGGCTCCCCCTAGAGCCAGCACCTGGAATTTGGACTTCTAGCCTCCTAAACTGTGAGAAAATAAATTTCTGTTTGTTAAAGCCATCCACTTGTAGTATTTCTGTTATAGCAGCACAAGATAACCGAGACAGGACTCATATTAAGAACGTAATTCTTAGTCCTAACCTGATAATCATATAATATTGCAATGTGTTAAACCCCTTAAATTTCTAGAATTGTAAATAGTTTACAGAAGGAGAAGGGTAAACACATTACTGGAAATTTTAGAAGAGAACACTAAAAATACATAACTATGAGTTCTGGATCAATTCCACAGAAACTGAGAACTTTAGCTGAAGTAATCATTTTTAAAGATAGACCTCATTCCTTAGAATAACATTTGGAAGATCCTTTGGAAAGCCTCACAAAAAATTTTTGAACAAATGTCCTAGAAAGAAAGGCTGTTCACTTCCCAAGGAAAGGACAGTCGTCTCCAGAAATCCCCGGCGACACTGAAATGGCCTAAAAGGCGGAGAGGGAGGCAGGTAAGAGACGTACACAAGTGATAAGGAAGGAAAAGGGCAACATGGAATAAAGGAAAAGATACAGGAACTCTGAAAATACTAATTTTCCACAAACTAATCATGGGAATAATGGCAACAAACCAACCAGGCTGGGAATCATCTATTTGAAACTGAAAGGATAAAGCTTTATCAGCGGTGAAATCGAATCTTTTTGTCAAAGTAACTAAGTTACCCCAGAAAAATATTCTCAGCCTGTCTACCTAAATCCATAAATAGAATCAAGAATTATAAAATTCCTATAGCTGTAATAAACCCTGGAAGTAATCAAGATTAATGGTCCCTAATGGGCAGGTGGCAACGAAGCTTTTATTAGTTCACAGCCAAATGAGAAAAACAAGAACTTTTGTTAGTTTTTGGTTATATAGATTTCTTTATCCCTAAAAAAGGTCTCAGAATGTGCCTGTTGTTGTGCTAAGGATTTGCACCTATAACCTCATTTATGCAGGCACCATTATCACACTTCTACTTTACACGTGAGGATAATGAAGTATCGAGTGGTTGAGTAATGATTTTACCTAGGTTATGCTGCTGGCTAAACTGAAGAGCTAGAAGTTGAACATCAGTCCGACTACTCTCGGGCCAGCTTTTGTTTTTAACATCACATTTGGAGGTGGCGACTCAGCGTGTTATTCTTATAAGTAATGAAATCCAAAAATATCTGAATAAATAGACAAACCCCACCACTAAGTCTTGAGACTCAGAGAGGCTGAGAATACTAGTAACTACATCCACCATGGACAAGACGGTGATACTCACATTCCAATCTAGAGATGTTACATCCTTGTTGCTCGGGACGTCTTGCCCCCCTTCTCGTATACAATGTCTAAGCACTAACTGCGTGGAGCCACCAGTGCTATTCTCACTAAGATTCCATATTCTTGCTGTTGAGTCTCCAGACCTATAAAGTAGGCAATATATTTTAAATCCCCATATTTCTCAAGTGTCACACAATCAAAGCAACCTATTTACACTGTATTATTAATAAAGAAAATAAAAACTAGACTAGCAGGATTTTTTATTGCCAGTATTTTTCCCATTCTCCACTTTGTGGCCCTCAAGCATCCCTGAAGTAGTAAGCTTAATTAAAACATCTAAAATTACTTCACGAAGGAATTAAGATTGACAGGGGCAAGATGATTACCAAACAAAACAGCAACAACAAAAACCAAAAACTTGCAAATGTAATATATTTATAAAATGTGTAAATAATTCACTAAGATTAAAAAAAGAAGCCAGTTTAGTTTCACTTTGAGAAACATACCCCGATGCCAGGAGATCACTAACGGGGTTCCAGGCACAGATGAAAACTTCAGATTCATGGCCCCGTAACACCACTGCTTTATTGGAAGGGATTTCAACATCTCCATCGACTTCCATCATATCAGTATGATTATCTATATCGTGAGAACCAAGTGGAAAATTATAATTAGGTAATATTACAACATCCAGGGGAGAAAGGGGAGATTTTTAACCAGCAAATACCTATTTATAATATACAGTGTAACACTTCTACTATGACAGGTTAAGATGACGATGACTATACAGACTTTATCACAAAAGAAATAAATTCCTATCTCTAGTTAAGTATGATCATATATGTATATGAGTGTGTGTTTAGGGGTGAGGTTAGGGAGGGGAGTAGGAAAGGACTATAAAAGGTTAGTCCCAAATATGGCTAAGAGTGGTCTGAATTAAATATAATCCACGCCAATACTATTCTGAGTTTCTGCCAGTAGGGGTTGCTGATATCATTCATATAATATCAGAGTTGCCTTTATATTTCAAAATCAGAGCTTTGTTGTGTTTGTTAATAACAAGTATTACAATTTTGTTTTTTTAACAAATCAAATACAGAGGCAAAAATTTATTTCATTGTGGAAAATGGTCTCTGAGCATTAAAAGAGAAAATAAAGTCACTGAAAACAAATCTAGGCTTGGAGCTTTAGAAATAAAAACCTGACCTGTGTAATGCAAGTTAGGGGAACTAGTGGCATAAATGAAACAGATGAAGTTATTTGACAAAATTACAGCTTAGACGATGGCACAGTCCTGTAAAGCAAAATATTTCCTCTGAAAGGAATTTTTAAAATTTCTTAGCTCACTTGCTATAGTATGTGCTCCGTTCTCCTCCCCATTTGCTGTGTTTTCTCCATTTTTTGCAGATCCTTGTTGGTTTGTTGCAGCTGCGGCAGCTGCAGCAGCTGCTGCCTGCTGCTGTGCAAGCTTATCTCTATAAGCTTGTTGTCTTGTTTGTACTACATCAGGCATCACGGCATCTATCAGTGACAGAGACTCTATTGGTCGACCATCAAACAAAGTACCATCCTGGATTTGGAAAATTGTGACAGAAGACAAATCAAAAGTAACATTAGGCTTATTTATATTCATACAAATCAATAGCAGAAATGAAAAAAATCTTCATTCTAAGAAAAAATACATTTTAGATAATTTTCTAAACTCATGAAAGAAGGAAAGCAGTCAGGAGGAAAGGAAGAAGAAAACTGCAAGCGGCCACTGCAAACGATTGTTTGACCTTTCCTCTACAACCAGTTCACACTGTTGCCAAATGTTACACAGATACAGCTGCAATGTAAGTCGCTGCTGAAAATTAACAGGGATAATAAAATGTAGGCCCAGATAATAAAGATTTTAATGATTAGATTCCAGAATTCTGTTAGTCAAAAGCAACAACCAACATGGAATAGTCCATATGATGAACTTTGGAGCCACATTACAGGAAGTACTTCTTTAAAACTGGGGGGAAAAAAGTTTTAAATAGCTTTCTTGTACTGAAAAGTTTCTTGCTACCTGACTAGAACAGTAAAGCAGAAATGGACTTCAGGTATTATGCCAGCCAACCATCACATCTTACTAACATCGAAAGGCAAGCACCGTAAGATGGAAAGACTTGTTCATAGTCACACAGCTAGTCGATGGCAGCTGTGCGCTCTTCACCCAGTGCTAGTGGATCCAAGTGTGATCCAAGGGCCAGTACTACCATCACTTGATGGCTTTTTGAAATGTAGATTCAAGCCCACAGATCAGAATCTCTGAGGGTGGGGCTCAAGAATCTGTGTATTAACACACTTTCTGGATGATTCTTATGTGTGATGACATTTGAGAAGCACCATCATAACACACAGGCTAGTGGTCTTTAATTTTATGGAGTTTCTGTAATTTTCCAAAGCTCCACTCATTAATATTAGGAACTTCACAATTAATAAAAACATCTCCAGCGAGCACAAGAAGAGAAACAGACACTGAACAAATCAGAAATAGAAACAGTGCAAATTAGCTGGGAGAAAGCGTATGTGAAGACTGGTAGTATTATACTTGAACTGGAGAACATGCCCCACTGACAATCCGCAGTGGCATGAGGGGGTACTCTGAGTTACAAAAACACAGCACATCATTCTGAATTATCAGTTGTCCTGGAATATTTGAGAAGTAGGAGAAAGTATTTTAACTTATAAAACCAGATGAAGTATAGTCAGTTGCGATTCATGATGACCCCATGTGTGTCACAGTAGAACTGCGCTCTGTAGAGTTGTCAATGGCTGATTTTTTGGAAGTAGATCACCAGCACTTTCTTCCAAGGTGCCTCTAGGTAGACTTGAACTGCCAACCTTTAGGTTAGCAGTCCAACATGTTAACCATTTGTACCACCCAGGGATATTATCCAAACCAACACAGACACATTGTGGAGGACTATGTAAAATTTTAAATGAGCATCATCTCTGGCCACTGGCAGAACTTGTTTATTTGATCTCCCTGTTAAAGAGTTTTTGGGAAGGAAAGTGCTATAAGACAATGAGGATACATGTTAATTTAGTACTACTGGGTATTTTCAGTCATAAAGATGAAGAAACCCAAAAATAATAAATCAATTTCAATATATAATAATAAATACTGAACCTGTGAAAGCTGGAACCTGTGTAAGGCAGAAACCTATCAGAGAAAACGCAGATTATTTCCCACTAAAATGAGCGATAGGAAAGTATAAGACTGCATCCTGTCAAAGGTGGAAAACTTGCAAGGCCTCGAAAAACAAGGCAGTCCCACTGAGTTCCAACTCTCACAGTTTCAATGTACTTGGAAATACTTGGAGAAGTATTAATCTCTGAAATAAAAATAAGGCTAAATAAACTACTGATACATGGACCTTAAGACAGGCAACAGCATCAAGAGATGGCTTCAATTATAAATTACCTTCCAAAATTAGGGCATATAATCCTTCTATACAACAAGATTTTCTAATTGAACATCAATTATGGTCTCAGCATTCCACAGCAAAATCTGGTTGTTCTAATGATTCTTATTGTTTACTTAGGAAAACATATTAAGAGAAATAAGCTATACAGTTATGGTTCTTACAACTGAGAGTCAACATGCCTTGGGCGTGCAACCTGACTGCTGCATTAATAATAATGTCCTTCATTTTTGTTAAGCAGTGAAGCTTAAGAAAGATACTAAATAAACAAGCAAGACATCTGATTTAAGAATATATTTAGAGTAAGAATTAGTTTTTGAAATAAGCCTTCCTTACCTCATTGATACTAACTTCTGCCTCTACATACTGTAGACCTTTCTGGATGATAGAAATCAATGCAGCAGGTGGGACGAGGGCACCATTTATATTAGACTGACTGATATGGCTTTCTATGCCAAAGGTAAATGCAGAATGAGAAAATCCTAAAAGCAAAAAAAAAAAAAAAAGTATTAGAATTTATTCTCCTAGTTGCAACATGCTAAATGACACAAATGAAAGACTTCTATCATCTTTCAAAATCACATTCCACCCATTTGAAATCCCAGATCAGTAACTAAGGTCCAGTTATGTCTTTAAACAAAAGAAATATCAAAATCTAAACAAATCAATATTTTCCTTTTTCTCTTTGATTATTTAACGTACTCTTAAAATTTTATAATACATACTTAATTACACAGCTTCAAATTCTACAAACTTTAGATATTTTCCTCAATAAAAAACACCAAAACTTTAAAGTGGAAATCACGTGGTTCAGAAATCATGTGGTTCAACTGCTGAACTCAAGATAATTGCAGTCAATGTCAATGTAAGTTAAGTGGTATTTAATATTTTTGTAGTATATTTAAGTTCTTACATAAAAATTATGAAACATAAATTCAATATTTTGCCGTTTACCTTCAAACTACTTAGGAAATGAAAGGTAAATTTAAGCTAATATAAGGAATGAAAAGCTAAATTTTTTTTTTTTTTTACTAACTATTTGTTGCTTAGTAATAACCCACTTCAGTGAATATTTAGGAAATGGAGAGCTAACAAATGAAAATGCAACTTCTGTGTTCTCCATCAGTGATTATTTCATTTTAATCTGAAATACTTGAAACCAGAACACTCACACAACAAAAATCTCTTCATTTACAAATATTCTCTAATGAGACTTTAAACAATGAAATGGACAGTCCATCAATTACAATCGGGGTGAGGGGTACTTTATCTTGGCCTTGTGTTTTATGAAAATCGAGTCCACACAAATTCAGAAGTTAAATTCTGGTAAACTGATAGACCCAAGGGTGGTTACTCTCTTTACCAAAGTATCTATTATAGCTTACCATCAAGTAGTAATTGCTATTAGTGTTTTTAAACTATTCAGTTAAATTGTGTATGTGATATAAAATGTTTCATACTGAAGAGTGTAATAAATACGGGCTTGTTTTGGGTCTTCCTAAAACTGACTTAATCTGTATGATAGCAGTCTGTTGTCTAGCCTGTTAGTCCCAGTTTTTTAGTGCTCAGTTTATGCTTTTCTTCCATTTGTACTTACACTCTAAGTTCCTGTGGTACTTGTGAACATTCTGTAATAAGACATTGTGGGCTCACAAACAGCATGTGGTTAGGAAAGATTTTAATTGGTTAACTGACAGGCAATAGTACCTAAGATGATTTTCCTCACAGCTCCCTCCTTTCCCCTTTAGAATATCTAAATTATTCAGTGCCTGTAACTCATAATGAGAGAGACAAGAAATTAAGCTAGCTTTAAGACCTTGATTTTAACCTCATGACTTCATCCACAGGCAAGATCATAATTGAACACATTTATAAACAGTTCTCGGCTTAATCTGAGCTCCCAGAGATGGCTAAGAAAGAATCAATGAAATAAGCAGACAAGCAGACACCTTTTTTGCACTGTCTCTATCAGGAACCCACAACCACTTGAATTTGAGTAGATCCCACATCATCGGAAACCCTGGTGGCACAGTGGTTAAGGGCTATAGCTGCTAACCAAAAGGTCGGCAGTTTGAATCTACCAGGCGCTCCTTGGAAACCCTGTGGGGCAGGTCTACTCTGTCCTATGAGTCGGAATCGACTCAAAGGCAATGGGTTTTTTTTATTTGTTTTCCACATCTTCAGGGTGGAAAGCAGAAAAGGATTGGGAAGGAGGGGGAGGGGGGAAGGGTGAGAGAGATGGCAGTGAAATCCCTAAGCAGCAAGGTCAGAGATTCTCGTTTTCAATTTAAACCCTTCTCTAAATACAGCCCTCAGTAAATCATAAATGGGGAGGAGGCGGGGGGGGGGTGTCAAGTAGCCAAGTGACTTAGAAACTTAAGAAGGCTTCAAGATAGAAGAGATCATTTACAGCAGGCCTACCATATGTTAGAAACTGTGTATACCCATAATAATTTTATTATTTTATAACTTGAATTAACAGATGGGAAAATACAGCCACTAAGTAAGAGAGTAAGGATTTAAACTCATTCAGAGACCATGACCCTAACCACTACGCCCTACTGCTCCCCTTGAACAGTTCAACTGTCATCAAGGATAAAGCTAAAGCAAGTACAAGATTGTATCATTTGTCTTCCCTTTTCAATTCCTGGAAAGTGGTGTGAGTAGTATATGAAACATTAAGACATCTTATCAGCTTTATTTACGCCAAGGTTTCAGAAGTGTTTTGATTTACATAAGCCTTTTAAATTGTAGCAAAGTCTAGGTTTTCTGTACTCTCTATTCATAGGGGCATTTTAGTCAAAATCATTACATTTAGACCCTGTTAAATTAGCTGACAGAGAGTTTAAGCTTTAAGTATTAATATGTCCAACAGTATCACAACAGTTGCAGCTGGAACCATGTCAGTTTTAGGCTGGAATAGTGCATACATTCTGAATTGGTTCTGTCAGACCAGGAGAGAAGCTATCATAGGTGCTTATATGCATTTCAAGTTACCTCAGATGCGCATAGAATGCTCTCAACCAGCCGTGAAACAACACTGAAGTAGTCATTAGTATTGTTTTGGCACTTCTTATTGATGTTTACCCTAGAGAAGTTCCACATTTTAAAAGCTCTCTTAAATAAACGATGAATTGAACTATAATTTTTTCTTTACTTCTAGTTACATGGCACCTTAAAATAATTACATTCAAAATTACACTACTTTTCTTCTTTCCCTCCATAGAACTTATTTTTCCTTAAAAATTTCTGATCTCATTTCATTACACCTGAAAGTCATCCTAACTCCCACCTCTCCCTCAGCCCTTGGCATTCCACCATTTGCCAAATCCTATCATCTTACCTCTCTGGGCTCTGTCATCACCTTTCATCTGCCAGAACCTGAATTCAGTCACCATCATTCTCTGCCTGGACTATCATTCCCGAAAGTTCTTTTCCTCTCTTCCTCAGTTCAGTACATTTCCCACATTGCAGCTAGAATATTATTTCTAAAACACAGATTGGTCATATCATTTCTTATTTTAGCACTTTCAATCTCTTCGGCCTTCATAATAAAGGACAAACTCCTAGATACAGCACACAATTACTTTTTAGATCTGACCTTGCCTGTCTCTTCAGCCTCATCCTCCTAATTCCACATCCCCACTCTTCTTCTCATTGCACATTAAATTCAGGTGATGGCATATTACAAGCAACCTCTTGAATCTGCCGTGTTAATCGTGTCTCTGGGCCTTTGTGTGTATTGTTCATTCCTTTCTTCCTATTCTCTTTTCTCCTACCTGAATGGTGGTGAAGTCCTTCCCTTTACTGCCCCCAAGGTTAATCAGTCTCTTCTATGTTGATCCTATAATTTGTATAGACATCTACATGGCACTTACCCACTAAGTGGCTATCGTGAGACAGAGAGAGACTACTAGACTAGGCTGCATGAGGACAGAGTTTGTCTACTAATCTTTTAATTCTGGGAAACTGGCACACTGTCTGATTTAACAGGTGCTCAATAAATGCTTCTTCAATTAAAAAGCAATTCCACTATGATATATGTTGGCACATCAGAAAATCTATGACTCCAGAAAAAGTATATGATTTAAGTCTTTCTTGAAAAACAATCTAAAAACTGAACCGATTTATGCCAGAAAATATTCCCATTTATCTGTACATGGATATGCAGGAAATACTTTCAGGAACAGCTTCTGATTTACACAGTGGAAGGCAAAAGGGATTATCTAAATCTGTGCAAATGTTGAAATTTGACATGATTGCCAAAAATAGCATCCCTTCTTTCCAGAGGTAAGAGCAAATGTGGTATGAATAGTATCTCCATAATCAAGTCCTGCAAGCATTCATTAGACAATTAAGATTTGGGAGATAGAAAAGAGATTCCAGAAAGGAATAAGGCTGAAAACCACAAGCTGAGTATATAGTCATTCAGTAACAGAGAAGAGCAATGGCAGAGGGTGTCTGTGTCGTTACACAAGACCATGAAAGACTCACACGTAAGAAATGAGATCACAAAACAACCATCTTTGACATACTGTTTCTTTCAAGGTGTCCCTTCCTTGAGATGGGAAGGATTATGTTTTCAAAGGGTAGTTAGTCAGTTCTCCAGAGCCTACCAACTATACTTTGTAAACAGAGTCCAGACATAAAAGCAGGGCCTTAAAAAAATGGGCCGCTGTTAAGGTATAGGGCATCTGAACAAGAAAAATTGATGAAAAGAGGCAAAGCTTAGCTATTATCAAAATACAGCACTCCAGTCTAGAAGGAAAATCTGATTTATTCAAGGTCCTATTAATCTTTAGGTCAGAAAAGCCCAGAAAAGTAATCCCTGTTCCCATCACCACAGTCCCCCCAAATCTATTACCAACTCTGCCCTACAAGCCAGGATTTTAGAAAAGGTAAAGAGGAATGGAAAAAATGCTACAAGGGATCTTGGCTGTTGAGGAGTTAGACCCAGAACTTATAAAGAGAATAAAATAAAATATGGAAAAGGAGGAAAAAATTATAGTATCAAAACCTAAATGCAACTGTTAGTATTTTTGTGCATTCTTTGTTTTCTTTACATACTGGGATTTTTTAGTAGAATACAATACACTGGCTATACAATTTTATGCCTAATTTTGCTTTTTAAGAAATACAACAATAAACACTTTATAGAAATAATATTTTCTGAAATAATTTTAATACCATCATTATCTTCAGCCAGTAAAGGCACTCTGCCAGTAAATGATTCATCCCTCCCACAGCAGGACATTTGGACTTTCACAATGTTCACAATTTAAAGAGAATCTTTCCCCAAATATCTATGTGTACAGGTTTTTCCCATGTATAACTTTTTTTCTCCTTAGGATGGACTCCCCTCAAAAATCAGAAGGGACAGGAGCATGCTAAAGGAAGTTTTCATGATCACTAAATGACTTTCCAAAAATTATGCAAATTTATATTGCTACTGAAAAAACCCATTGCCATCGAGTAGATTCCA